GCACGCACGCACGCACGCACGCACGCACGCACGCACGCACGCGCACACACACACACTCCCTGCAGGATTCTGAGCCATTTGTAGGAATGTTTTCTAAAATAAACGATGCATTAAAATTTAAATACATTTTAATCAAAGGTTTACAGATATTTTTATTGATTTTTATAAGTGTTGATGTAATTTTAAGCTGTTATATTTGATACAAATAGTTTTTATTTATTTATTGGGACTTTTTAAACTCTCCTCAAACTGCATATTATGATAAAAAAATACAATAAAAACAAACCTTTGTTTAAAGCAAAAGTTTTACAGATATTTTCATTGATTTTTATAAGTTTTGATGTAATTTTAAGCAGTTATAGTTTTATTTATTTATTGGGGCTTTTTGACTCTCCTCAAGCTGCACATTATGTAAAAATTAGAGATGCTCCATACTGATGTTTTGCTGAYATTGTTCAACACTTAATTTCCGATATTAACCGATATTAAGATGACATCACATATCTCCTGTGATTCCCCACATTAATTCCCTAAGCAAACATWGTCTGTTCAAAATAAAAACCATTTCATTGAAGTTATGGAAAACGTGCCRTATTTATTTTTAATATTTTGTCTCAAACAATAGTTTAGTGGATCATGCTCTCCCTGAGATAATMYAGTTTGATGATGTCATCAATCCTGCACCGGTGAACGTCTCTGGACCACGAGCATTTCTTAACACATTTTGGTAAAATTCAGGCGTTAATTTATCGAGAAGAAAAAACGATACCGATATGTAGAGATTTTACATTTTTATGCTAAAATCGGTCCAATAAAGCTGATATTATCGGACGTCTCTGGTAAAAATACAATAAAATCAAAGCTTTATCTRAATAAKAAAACAGTCTCTATCTCATACTGTRAWACATSCACTCTTTACAAAGTAAAACCRAACATAAAAAGCTTATCCTGAACAGTAGAGATTGAAATGCAGGTTTGCAGTTGATGTAAACAAATATGGTGGAATCATATAAGTGCCTCAGGGAGGACATTTAGGTGGAAATATAAGAATCTGCTGCTAAAGGACAGAGAAAAAGTGAGTAATACGACCTGTTTGTGCAGGTAAACAAACACCTGTTTGCAGCAGCCGCCCACAGATTCAGCTGTAATATGAGGACAAAATGTGGGGCTTTTATTTTTATTTTGTTTGTTTCACCAACAGGAACAAACAAACAGGAGCTTCTATAAATAACCTCAGGTGAACCAGATCAGTCTGAATGTTCAGAACCAGACCCGGCTCAGCTGAGCCCACGCAGCAGAGGAGGGTCTTACATAAACACGAGTCCTCCTGACATCTTCATCTTCATGTAACATCATCATCGGTTTAAAACTAACAACCAGACTGCTTYAAACTGCTTTAAAACGTGTTTCTGTTTGTTCATTTTTCTCCAAACAACTTCAGCTCTGACTCTGGTGAGAACAGGTCCAGCTGTAAAAACAAACGGTTAAAATTTAACCAAGAAAACTTTGTATTTGGGTCGGCTACAATCATACAGAAGAGGATTAGGGCCACTGAAAAAAATAAAAAATAATAATTCTGACTTAAATCTCAGAATTCTGAGATTAAAGTCAGAATTCTGAGATTAAAGTCAGAATTC